CTGCTTTACTAGTCTCGTCTCGTCTCATGTCAGAAATGCAGGAACTAGAAAAGGGAAAATTATTAATCTATATTTAAAAAAATTGAAAACTTTAACAAACGTATAAATTTATATAATTCTTGCCCAATGCTGGGCCACATTGATGGCAAAAGTATTTCTGCCCAGCAAGTCATTCTGTGTGCATGTCAGTGGGCCTGATTTCTGAAAAACTGATAGCTGGTTTTGCATTGGAAACTAAGCTAAAATAAGATGATGATGATGATGAAGAAGAAAAAGAATTAAACTTGTATGCTGCCTGACTCTCAACAACTCTGAGTGGCTCACAACAATCAAACAAATTATAATGAAATAAATAAAACATAAAAAATAAAAAAAATGGCAAGTGCAATGAAGTGGGGTCTCACTTTCCCATGCCAAAAGCCTGGATGAAGAGCCAGGTCTTTGTGGCTCTTATAAACAATAGTACAGTGGGGGCCATCTGGATCTCAAGGGGAACCTGGTTCCAGAGGGCAGGAGCTACGACATAGAAGGCACACTTCTGGGGTCCTATTAGATGGCATTGTTTAATTGAAGGAACCTGGAGTGCACCAACTCTGCAAGATTGAATTGGCTGGGCAGTTGCTATGGGAGACAGGCAGTTCCTCAAGGAACCAGGCCTTCGCCCATGTAGATCAGATAGTTTGTGGCTCATTGTGTTGTACAAACCCTCATGGTATAGTTAATTTATGTATTTCTTACCAGTACACTTAGAAGTACTGGTACATAGCAGAAAAACTTGAATAGAGGCCAGGTTTTTTTAAACAGCAGATATGCATACTGTAGCAGATCTTTTTATCTGACTATGCACATTCCCAGAAGGAAGCTTATTACAGAAGAAAGCTTGTAAAAATAGGGCTACTTCAAGAGACCTTTGAGATTTGAGTGTTGTGGAGCTCCCTGTGCCAGGAATGGAACTGCTGTTATATTATGATTAATTGTACACTGTGTTATGTTTTATATTGTTGTGTCATTTTATTGTTGCATTGGCTTTGGCAGTTGTTCTTGTGCATGGCTTAGAATCATCTGATTGAATAAAATAAATAACAGTAACTTCAAGTCTATAACTTCTGGAATGTTTAAGTTGGAGTAAGATTGGATCCTTAGTGACACACTGTGTGATCCATCTATAGGTAAGTGCAGCCTGATCTGTTCCTGTTTATTCAAAGCAAGTTCTTTAAGCAGCAATTAAATGATGGATATTATTTAACAAAAAATACAAGTTGATAAATGGAAATAAATGGATATATATAAGGTGTACCAGATCATGCATGCTCACGTTTTGGCTTTTTGCTCATGGAGAGGAGGAAGTTGACCTGACTGGGATTCTTAGCACAATTGTGTGTACACACACACACAAACAGTATCAGCATTCTACGTTTAGGGTCGTCCATAGCATAAACGTAAGAAGCCCGCGCCTGTGCTGTCATTCCTTTATCCGCATGGGGAGAGGCGGGGCCACAAAAACATCTTCCAGGGGGAGCAGAAGCAGCGCGACGCTTCTACCAATTGAAACGGCGCTGAGTAATATTCAGGAGAGCCGGTTGGAATGGAAAGGGGGCGTGGCGACACGTTGGAGAGGGACGGGCCTGGGGGCGGGGCCTCGCGCGAGCCGGGACGCCGTTGTACCCGCTGCGAGGAGAAGCTGCTGTCCAAGCCGGTGAGTAGCGGTTTGCATCTGGGGGCCCCGAATGCGATTGCGCCCCCGAGCCAGCTCCCTCTTTCGTCCCCTTCCCACTAGGCGACATGCCCGGATGGGCAAGGAGCCATGTCAAGAGTTGCTCCTGTTGGTCTGAGGCATTTATGTGAGCGGGAATCTGGGCTGATCGTCGCTGTCGCGCTGGCGTGAGGTGCTGTGGCTAGTCGGGAGTGGGTATCGGAGCCCGGACGGTTCGCGAGCCGGTGCTTTTATGGCCTGAGCGCGTAAGGTGAGTGCGCCGCCCGCTCCCGAGGCCTCCGCCTATTCCGTCCTTGCCGCATCACGTCAGCCCCCTCCCCTGATACTGCCGCGGGAGTAGGGGGCAAGCGAGGCGGCGGGCACCAGCGTGCCTCGGGCGGACGCCTGTGGATGCCCCCCCCCTTGCCTTGGGCTTTCTACCACGGAGGATGCCGCCCCTCGGGAGCCTAAACGGTGGTCTTCCCGTGCGGTCATCTGGAGGGGTGAGCTGCGGTTCCCTGCCTTCCAGCTCGGTGGTCCCTCCGCCCATCGCCCCCGGGGAGCTGCTCCAAGGAGTGAGCCGGCAGCCTGGCTCCGAGCAACGGCAGTAGAGGCGATGGGCGTAGACGGACGGCGGCCGCGATGCTGAGCGCAGGGAAGGAGACGTGGTAAGCTGGGGATTGCCAGGTCCGCCGGAACATTAATGCTGCTAATAGAGACGGAGGGGGAGCGCGCGTCCTTTATGCCCCGACTGCCTGTATGAGACTGGTTTGTGGCTCTTAGCGGGGAAAACTAAAAACAGATGAAAAAGCCCTAGCCTGTTGCTCTTTAAGCCCTAGCCGGCTGCTCTTACCATGACGTCTTGAATGGTATTCAAAGCCAGCTGATTTTGGCGTGGCTCAAAAGCGGTTGTATTTAACACTTGAAAAATGGGCTAAATCTATTCGACTTTTTTTTTAAAGGTCTCTGAATGACA